AAGTTCTTAGGTTATTGAGCTTGGGTACAAAAAGTTTGACATAAAAAAATTGCCAATTGAATTGTTGCCTTTGCTATGCAATGTTTTAAGTGATGGAATGATACAAGATTATACCTTTAACTTGATAGAAGAGATTTTAGAGTATCTAAAGGAAAATAAAACTGAAATTATTTCAAAGATTGGAAGATGACAATATTGCGAAGCATTTAAATATTTAATCAGTGATAAAAAGGTAAGGATATGAAGAGAGAAATATAGACTCTTACAAGGAAGTAACAGCAAAAATGACAAAAGAATTGATATAGTTTAAAAAGAGGAATCTCAATTAGACAAACTTGTAAAGATGAGAATGGTGTGATAATTGGTAGATAGATGATATTAAATCTACAGGTTAGAGAAGTATCTTGTTAGATTCTTAAGCAGAGTGTGTATCTCTGAGAAAGTATGTAATTGGTGCGTATTTTGAGCTATTTCTTGCACTGTCTTTTAGAGGTGGAATCCGAGATCTATCTCCGTGAGATAGAGGGTTAAATAACTCACCGATACTTGGTAGATCATCTCTACATAGATTCAACGGGAAGTTTTGTTGTGGTTTGTTAAATAAGTTTTTTACTATCTCAGTTCGGGTGGTGAAGTGGAGGGAACATAACTTGTACTCTATGGGAAACGAGTTAAATAAATGATCTTTGTTGAGAGTGATAGTGCAGTAGGAATTGAAGTAGGGCCCAGCACAGTAGGAGCATTCCTTGACATCAATAAAATAATTTATTAGCGATTTGTCTGTATTTTTGTACACTCTCAGGTTTTCTCTAATGATCTTCCTGCAACAGATCTCTTTGAGTGCAAGGACAGGTGGTCCCGCAATTCTTATTTTAATCCCATCTAGATGTTTGAATGTACAGCCGTCACATTCTAGCTCGTTGAGTATGGGTAGCTGAATTATCTCCATTGGAATGCTTTTTATTCTGTTTCTTGATACGTTGAGATGTTTTAGGGAGGTCAATTTCCCGAGAAATTGTGGTAATCTTTTGAATTTGTTTTCGTCCAACTGGAGATACTCAAGCTTTTTAGGGATGTAATGGATTTGGGCAGACTCCTAAGTCTGTTTTGTGAGAGATTCAATTCCCTGAGCTCCTTCAACATTCCAATTTCCTCTGGCAACCTGGATATTCTGTTCCTGGATAGAACCAGCACCTTTAGGTTTGCAAGAAACCCGATTTCTCTTGGAATGGTGACAAGATAGTTGCAACACGCTTGGAACACATCCATCTCCTTGAAATATCGCACCTCGCTCGAGAGTTCTACAAGGAACTGCTTACACAGATACACCTGTTTGGTCAACTTTTTTAAATTCGTGTGTACCATCCTAACATGGAGTCCATGTATCATCAATCTTCTCAGTACCTTTTCCTTGTTCATTGAATATTCCATTCCTACAACCTCTCCTTCTTCCAGTCCCTCCATTTTGGCCATCGTTGACAGCATCTCATCAAATTTTCTGTTGATCTTCCAAATTGCAAATTCCAAATTAAGATGCGAGTACTTCCTTTTCAGCACTTTTCCCTCACATGGAAGCAAGTGATCTTCTATATTCAGCATCTTTAATATCTCAGGCGTTGAGGTATTTGACTTTCCTATTTTTATCTTGTAAGCACTTCTATTCTTCGAGAACTCCATTCCAAATACCATCTTCTTTTCTGAGTATTCTCCTTCTTCTTGGTTTCATATCCACCTCTTATCGACAATTACATTCTCTTCTGCTACACATGAAATGATCTCCATTTTGTTAGTGGTCCAGTTCCTCTTGTGTTCCGTGGTTTTATTTGTGGAAATGTGAAGCAGTGGTTTTAATAGGTAATGTGGTTAATGTATGACCACGGGGAAGGTGCATCCTCCCCAAGAGATATTTTGTGTGTAGGTTGAATTTCCAATGAATTCACAGCGTTCTGTACATATCCTCCGGTTCCACAGTCACAATCTCCATACTGTGATTTAGAACACTTTGGAGTGATACCCAATGAAATCCTTGGAAAAGGCCAAGAGGATATTCAGCAGGTCGATTCCAGGCAGAACATATCTGAGGGAGAGGGAAAGAACTAAGATCAAGGAATTTATAAGCTCTACTGAGTATTTATTAAATATTTCGGGTAATCCTGGTACTGGAAAGACCTCTACGGTATTGAACGCATTGAAAGGTAAGAAGTGTCTCTATCTGAACTCAATGAAGGTAAGGAATGTTTACCAAAAAATTGTACAAACAAAGGTGAAAATAGTTGTTGTGGATGAATTTGATAGATATTACAAGGAAAATGGCAAGGAATATTTATCATTGATCAAACACGTGAAAGAAGAGAAAAAGAAATTGATAAGTATATCAAACACACTGGAAGTATCTGAAAATACCCTCTATTTCAAACCTTACACCTCGGAAGAGATAGGTTCTATCATCAAGAATAAAATTAGGGAAGAGATAGGTGTAGAGATAGTTGATGACATAGCGATGGAAGTAATATCAAGGAAATTTGGAGATATCGGGGATATACGAAGGGTTTTTGATTACCTACTTGATCTCATAAAAAGAAAGTATATTAATGAGAGGGAGGACAAAAAGGATGAGATTTGTGTGGAGATAAAACATTCTCACATGGAAAAGAAAAATAAAGAGATTACAAAAATTAAAATTGGGGATATTTTGTGTGAACATAAAAGGTGCCAGAAGGATGGGGATAATATTCACCATAGAATTGTTAGAGAGTTACTTACTGGTGGGATAAACATTGATTGTTGCTATAAGAAATATCTGGAGAGATGCAAAGAGATGAAACTACAATTTTGCGATAGAAATGATTTTAACTTGATTTATGAAATAGCAAGAGGTGATATGTAAAAATGCAATTAGATGACTTATCCACCATATAAATTGATAGATAAAGGCGTTATTTTGATTGGGAGAAGTATTACAAGGAATATATAAATTGTAATATAAACCATGGAGTATCTTAAATTGACTTGATACTTTATTTTAAAAGAAATATTTTTGTATTTCTATCTAAAGATTTAATAGCGAAAACACACTATATCACAAGTATTAAAAGGCTTAGATCAGTGATCCCTGATGTTGTCTTTCCAATAGTTCCATTCACAACTTCATTCCAACATCTTCGTCTAGAAAGCAATACAACGAAGTACCATGACTACTGTTTAATTAAAGTCTGGTTTATACACATTTAGAGTCAATCTTCCGTTCCATACGCAATGGTGATTACAGATAGTGTTATCTGATTCTTAGAACATTATTGAGGGGAGATGGTAAGATAGTATTCTATCTTACTATGCCCGATGTGATTCTGTATAAGGCGGAACATAGCTCATCTCTTGCTTAACTCTCCCTGAATCCACTTACCATCTCAAAATAGGTGCAATACAATCTCTCTTCTTTGGATGCTTACAAGTTTTGTCAAAAATAAAATAAAACCAAGAAATTTGTTTTCACTATGGAATTAGTCTACTCATCTACTTCTTTTATAACATTCCCCATCATTAGTCACTAGCAAGATAACGTGGTTGGTGGGAGGTGTATGTCACTACAACTTGAGAGTAATTAAGCTGTGCTTGTGACCTGAGATGATTATCGTTAACTTTTATCACTTAGGACAGGTATATTGTTCGAAGAAATAAATATTAAATTTCATACCCAGAGAAGCTTTATTTAAATAGAATTTCTCCTCGGGAGAAGAGGTGTTCCATCAACAATTATTTTTATGTTATTTTCTCGGAATAGCTCTATTAATGTCCTCTTAACAGTAGGAGTACAATTGTCGATATATATTACCTTCAAAGACAAGTAATCTAAATCACTTATATCATTCTCTAGTAACTCTCGTGATAGATAACATGCTGTTATCTTCAATACTTCTGTTTTTCTATTATCCAAAGCCTTGATGATTTTTTCTTTGTCTAGAAAAACTCTATCCAATACCCATATTCTTATACGTACCATTACTTCCTGAGAAACCCCATTTCTTAAATACTTTAAATTAACCCATTAAAGGAATTATTTACCATTTACTCATATATTATCCATTAAATTAATATATCTCATGTGACTGAGTAATTTAATTTATCACCTTCCAATTAAATGTTGGACAATAAACATCACCAAAAATACTCTTCAACTAGAGAGACCTGTCAATGTGGAACACTGAGTAGTCCCTGAATACAACATTAAAATCACAAATTATCCCAGAATAATACAATTACTGGAGAAGATAAAGAATTGAAGAGAAAAATCAAATTTTAGTTGGGGAAGAAATAACAAAAAATAAGACGGTTGAGAGTGTATTGACTTACATTTGTAGGAGAAGAAATAATTAAATAAAATGTCTTAAAATAGACTTCAACAAAGGAAAACACATACATTTCAGAATATTTAACGATTGAAACATTTATTAATTATCTTTCACATATATTTCAGAACAAGTTTTGTGAATCATACATTATTTACACCCGTTATTAACATTTGTATCTATTACGATGTGATACATCATAAAGGAATAGAGAATCTTGATTAGCTGGTATGGTGTACAGTTAGAGACACAACCTCTTATTCCTTAAGTATTGACTGGCCAGTCATTTCTGGGGGGATTTCTATTCCCATGATGTAAAGAATGGTGGGTGCAACATCTTTGAGCGAGTAATTTGTGTTAGTGTATGTTTTTTGGGGTTTTTCATGTTCTACTTCAGAGTCACAAATTATTAACGGCACTTTGTAGGTTGGCTGTTTCCTGGGGAGATTGCCATTTTCATCTCTCATGCACTCAACATTTCCATAGCTCGCCGTAATGATCAACGTATAACCCTTATCTTCACATATCTTGTGTAGTGCACCGATGGACTCATCCACCATTTCGGTAACCTTACACGCGTCCACTTTACATCCTCCAACACGACTAGCCACATTTAATGGAGGAAAATTACAAACAATGAATGGTGTGTTCTTTTCAACCTCTCTGATGCATTGCTGCACACTCCTCAAAATATTCGTTTTTAGCTTTGGATCATGAACATATTCTCTGGCCATTTTTGAGAAAGATATTCTTTCCCTCATTGATGCTTCCAACCCACTAGTAAAAAGATGGGAGATGTCTTCGTGTTTTTCCCAATCAGTGATCTGAGATTGCAAATACCCATTTTCAGACAATACTTTGGATAGCTTATTCTCAATTTCTATTGTATCAAAAATTGGTGTTATATAACGATTTTTGCTGTATTCAGTCATTGTAAATATTTTACATTTATCTACAAACATGTTAGACACTAGTTTTCTCATTCCAAAAGCTTTGAAATTGAAGAAGAGAACTGTTTCTTGCGGTAAAACTGAGCCACCACGTAAAAAAATACATGGATAAAGGAAGTTGTCATTAATACCTTTTGCGTAACTGGACATAACACAATTTTCAATTATTTGATACTTGTTAAATCTTGGAAACCCTCGAGGTTTTATCATATTATAACATTCATTTGTGAATTCCTCAGTTTCATCTACATCCATGCTATAGTATCTCCCAGAAACAGACACAATCACTCCAAACCCCACTTCATTTATGTATTCTTTCAATGACTCTAAATATTTTAGAAAAGATCTAGGCCCCACATCTACACCATCTGCTATACAATGTATGTATACTTCCTCACATCTTCCCTTGCAATTCACAATGAGAGACTTTAAATGATCTATGTGTGAATAAATACCCGAATCGCTCACCAGCCCTATCAAGTGAATTACTCCTTTACCTGCAAATTTAACTCTATCTAGGTATTCCCCCATTTTACCCTCAGATATAGCCTTGTTGATTCTGGTTAGACTTTGCTCAACTATCCTTCCAGCTCCTATCGTTGAGTAACCAGCCTCTAGATTTCCCTTTTTACCCGGAGAAAGTCCCACATACTCTCCATGTGCATGGATTAGAAAACTAGGAAATCTCGAAATGAGTAGGGTGATGTAAGGGTGTGATGTATCTTTCACACCATCACATTTCTCTTCATCATGATTCCATTCATCAACTATCACAAGACACACTTTTTTCATTGATTGTCCCACTTCTCCACATTTTTATTTTAGTTGTGAAACAACGTTCTGTAACCTACTTTTTGATTCGAAGGGATGAAGCATCGTGTAATAGATATTTAAATAAAAGTTATGGTTTATTAAATATTTGTACAAGACTTTTGTTTATACTAACTATGGATTAAATTTACTTATTTACCAGCACCCTGTAAAATAAAATTTAATGGTGTCAATCTCACCAATCTCTTCAATATTAAAGCTTTTCTTTGATAAAGACGAAGCTGAGGCGTTTTTATCGAGTAGAAATGTGTTTTATGGCAAGTTCTTTTGTCCAGAGTGTTCGGAAATTATGGTAAGAAATGTAGAGATGAGATCATTTAGATATGGTTGAAGACAGTATAGCATTGAGATAAGCAAAAGAAGACACCGTTTGTGGAAGTCGCTTAACTTGCGCTCAGATCCTACACATGGTCTATCTTTGGCTTAATCGCTGTACTCAAACACAAATTATGGCACAGAGTGGACATTCTAGTCGTACATTCAGTGCATTTTTACAACACTTTCGAAGGTTAGTAACTTCAACATTGGAAGTAAGTGATGGTGTTTGGGTGGTATGATACTGTTTCCGGATAAAGTGGTATCAAAACCACATATTATCCTCAACCCCCATTCCTAAGGTAGGATTAAGGGTGATTTATTTAACTATTAAATAAATCACCCTTACAATTATTTTTAAATAAAAAGAAATATTTGATGAAAGGAGAAATTAAGAGAAAAGGCCTGTCCACCAGTGGTGAGACAGGTGACAGTCGGTATCTATGAAAGGGCCTATAAGTGCTTTTGTAACTGTTAAAGATATTTGTATTGAATGTAAAGTATCCGGATCTATTCTATGTATAAAATGTAGAAAGAATTTTCCTAAACACTTCTTGAAAATGCAAGAAGAAGTTGAGAATAAGAAGGTGCTTTTTAGTAAGTGTTGGACAGAATGCCAAAGATGCCAAGGATCCATACATAGCGAAGTATTATGTGTTAACAGAGATTGTCTATTTTCTATATGAGAATGTTGCCGGATAAAGTGGTATCGAAACCACATATTATCCTCAACCCCCATTCCTAAGGTAGGATTAAGGGCGATTATATTTAATAGTTAAATATAATCACCCTTACAATTATTTTAAATAAAAGAAGTATTTTATGAAAGGAGAGTTTAAGAGAAAGGGCCTGTCCACCAGTGGTAGTGGTGAGACAGGTGACATTGGCGCCCCAGCAGAAAGATATGAGGAAGTGAATGAGTTAGTTAAGCAATTAGAAGAAAATCTCTTTATGATAAGAGGTGGAAACTATAATTTTAAAACATATGATGGGAAAAATAAGGGTGAGGAGGCAGAGAAGTGGCTCCAACAATTTTTACCCTACATATCAAGATGGAAAGATGAATTAATTTTATCATATATAGCAGTTAGTTTAGAGGGAAGAGCAGGTATCTGGTATGAAGGAGCCAGAGGAGAGGAGATTAACAATTATCAGGAATTCGAGAAGGAATTTCGAAGGATATTTTGTAAGAAGACGGAATATCAAACAGGTGAGCTGTTTAAATTGTTAAACACAACAATTTCTCTTAATAATATTTTCGAACACTTTTCAAAGATTAGAAATGTGTGGAAGAAGACAAATATTGGATTTGAAGAAGTTCATCAAGAAATACTAAAAAATTTTAGTGGTTGGGTTGGGACAGAATTAGAAAATGTCAAGAATTTTAAAGAGTTATTGGATAAAGCCTTGGAAGTGGAGGAGAAGTATGTGAAAAATAGTAAGAGGAGAATAGGACAAAAATTAACAGAAGAAGGTCGAGGAAAAGATAAAAAAAATGCAACTATTACTAGTAAAACTTTGGATAGGAAGAATAAAAGTATAGCTTGTTATGTTTGTGCAGGCCCCCATTATGCTTTTTCCTGTCCGCGACGAAGAGATAAATTATCAAATTCCTCTGGAAATAATAATGAGAGAAGAGAATCACGAGTAGTTGATTCACCTCGAAGAAAAGATCAGAATTCAAATAATACAGAAGTAAAAGAGTTGAATTCTACTGAAATGAAAACTATATTAATTGAGGATGGAGATGTTGCTGAAGAAGGATTATATCTTGATATAGAGTTAAATGAACAAAGAATATCAGCTTATTTAGATAATGGTGCTGATAGAGGGTATATTGATCGGTTATTTGCTTTGAACAATAATTTTAAGTTAGAAGAAACTGGTAGAGAAATGGAGGTAAGCTTTGCTAAGGAAAAAGAAAGGATAAAAGAAGTGAAAGCGAAAGGAAACATTATTTATGAAGGGAAAATAAAAAATCTCGAGTTTACTGTTGTAGATGATCTAAATGAAAATCTTATTTTTGGACGAACAATCTTTAATGCTTTAGGAATCGATATTTCTTATAGGGATCAAGTGGTGAGAATAGGAGAGGACTATACCATTCCATTTACTGATTGCGTAAGGTCTAGAATCAAGGTTAAGAAAGATATAACGTTAAAACCTCAGGAAGTATGTGTAATTGAGATTGAATCTCCAAATAGGATGGGATATATTGAAGGAGAAACGAAAGAGGTACAAACTGCAGAAGCAACTATAGTAGGACCTACTACTACTTCTATTCCTGTTGTTAATGTTACTAACCGAGAAGTTAAACTTGCTCGTGGGTATCCCCTATTTCATATTAACTTTTTAACAACTACTTCAATTTCTTCTGAGATAAATAATAAGAAAAGGCGAATAAAACATGAAGATATTCAAATTCAGGAAATTATTGATTGGTATTATAATGAAAGCAAGAAAAAAGAAAATTTACCAGCTAAAGATGTCATGCATAATATAGTTTTGAATAAAGAGTCAAATCCCATTTATTTAAGGAATTATAGGTTGGATCCTTTAAAATCTGGGATAGTGATTAAGGAGATTGATAAATTACTTAAGGAAGATAAGATACAAGAAAGTAATAGCCTTTGGAATTCTCCGATCGTAATGGTAAGAAAAGCTGATAAAAGTTATAGAATGTGTATAGATTTCCGTAAAATTAATGAAATTACCGTGAAGGAACTTACACCACCACCTTTGTTAGAGGATTGTTTAGATTGTTTAGTGAAAGCTAGAATATTTTCTGTCATTGATCTTAAAGATGGGTATCACCAGATATTGTTAGATCAGTGTTCAAGAAAATATACTGCATTTACAACACCAATAGGGAAATTTGAGTTCAAGAGGATGCCATTTGGATTAACAAATGCCCCCTCAACCTTTCAGAAGTATATGAACAGCATCCTAAGTAAAAATATTCTCCAAAATGCCCTAGCTTATATGGATGATGTTATTGTATTCTCTGAAAATTATAAGCGACATTTAATTGATATTAAAGAATTTTGAATAAATTTTTGGAGCAAAATCTGAAAATAAATTGGGATAAGTCAATATTTGGAAAAGAACAAGTGAGTTACCTTGGATTTACAATATGTAAGGGTACCGTAACATTTGATAGAGAGAGATTTAAAAAAATAAAAGATAAATTAGTTGTAACTACTAAAAAAGAACTACATTCTATGTTAGGATTTTTAGGATATTATCGTAAGTTCTTTAAAAGATTTTCTGGGAGAACCAAGGAATTGTTTAATATGATAAATGGAAAGAGTGAGTTTGAAAAAGAGAAAGCTAATTATAAGATTAAACTTTTAGTTGAGGAACTTTGGACTTCTGATGCTTTTTATCTTCCCAGGATGGATCTACAATTTATTCTTGAAACCGATGCATCAAATCATGCATTAGGTTGTGTTTTGAAACAAGAAATTTGTGGATGTGAGCGAACAATTAAATTTGGAAGTAGAACTTTAGTAGGTGCCGAGATGAATTATTCTACCACAGAAAAAGAGTTTCTAGCTATAATTTTCGCTGTAAAACACTTTAAAGTTTATTTATACCAAAAATTCATCATCCGAGTAGACCATAAACCATTAATTTATATTAAAGAAATTAAAAACCCAACAGGCAGAGTGGCGAGGTGGCTTATGTTTTTATCAGAATATGATTTTGATATTGTTTATAATCCTGGAAGTAAAAATAATGCTGCAGATACTATGTCTAGGATTTGTACTATTAGTTTGAGTAATAACTATCTATTGAATGAAGATGGTGAGGAAAAGTTGGGTGAGGAGGAAAAGGTGAAACAGATACATAAACTTCTAGGTCATGCTGGAATTGAGTCTACGTATTTACAGTGTAAGAAAGAATGTTCAAAGAAAAATCTTTTAGAAATTATTAAGAAGGTGATTAAAAATTGTGAAATATGTGGCAAGTTTGGGAAACAAGAAGTCTTCAAAACGTTTCCGACTAATTTTGTAAAAACATTTGAAATGATCGGAATTGACACCATAGGGCCTCTTTTAAAACAAAAAACGATAAAAGATACATCTTAATAGCTACAGATTATTGCACACGTTGGTGTGAAGCCATAGCTGTTAAAAATAAGGAAGCTAAGATTGTAGCAAAGTTTCTTTTAGATAAAATTGTTCTTAGATATGGACCACCTAAGATTATTAGATCTGATAGGGGAACAGAGTTTCTAAATGAAGTTATCAAAGAACTAAAAGAAGTAATGAAAATAAAATGGTCATATACATTACCATACAACCCACAAGCGAATGGATTGGTAGAAAGAACCAATCAAAGTATTATTCGTAAGCTAAGTAAGTTGATTTCTGAGAATGGAGAGGATTGGGACCGTTATTTATTGGTTTCTACATTTTGTTATAACATTTCACCCATAGGCAGGTTAAGACACTCACCTTATGAATTATTATTTGGAAGAGAAGTGAATTTAAAAGGAGATCAAAAACAAGAAGAATTGACGTATAATTTGAAAGATACTGAAGAAGAACTTAAAAATCTAGTTAATAAACAAAGAAATTGGAGAGAAAGGGCTGAAGAAATCGTGAAAGAAGGTTATAGTAAAAGAAATAAGAAAATAAACAAAGATAACCAAATGAAGAAAAATCCTGATGATTTATTTATAAATGATGTAGTTATGATCAGAGAGAGAAATCCAGGGAAGTTAGAACCTAGATGGTTTGGCCCATTCATTGTTAGTGAGAAATATATGAATGGTGGTTATAAGGTTAGATCATTGGAAAAGGATGTGGAATATGTATTGACAAGAAAGGATTTGAAGAAAATAGGAGAAGAGGATAGGTATGACTCTATTTTGTTGGACCAGGAGGAATTTAAGGGGGAAGGAATGTTGCCGGATAAAGTGGTATCGAAACCACATATTATCCTCAACCCCCATTCCTAAGGTAGGATTAAGGGCGATTATATTTAATAGTTAAATATAATCACCCTTACAATTATTTTAAATAAAAGAAGTATTTTATGAAAGGAGAGTTTAAGAGAAAGGGCCTGTCCACCAGTGGTAGTGGTGAGACAGGTGACAGAGAACTAAAGTCAAAGGTGAGTTGGAGGGAGAAATAACTAAATTAGAGAAATTAAGAAATTTGGATTGGTGATTTGTTTTGAGTAAACAATTAAAGTGTTTGGTATTCGTTATTCTCTTGAACTTCGTTTTCGTACTTCTTTCCAGACCTTAGAACTGTGATCTAAGCCCCTTTTTCAAGAAGAATGTTCGTATTAACGAAACTCACAAATTTATTTCCGTTTAGTAGTAAGAAAAAAGATACAATCAGAAAAGTAGGTCCCATTCCACCCCTTGTTTTATCATTTGGGTTGTTTACACCTAACCTGTCCTTTATAGGCAAAGATTTTGCCATGTCTCTTTTTAAAAGTTTTTATATCATTTCCTTTAGACCTTTCAACTTAGGAGACTGTGTTAGATTGAATGGATATGAAGGACTAGTGGAAGGAATAGATTTTAGATTTGTTAAGTTAAAGAAAAAGGACAGAAGTCTTGTTTATATCCCTACATGTAATATTTATAATAATGTTATTGAAATAATGAGATAGATCACTTGATCCACACTCCCTTGCACCATATTTGGAGTTTCTCTGAATGGTCGTTCTTAGAAATTTTAAATCTAAAAAACATTAAAAACACCTCTTTATTTAAAATATAAATGGATTTTTAGACTCCTCTACTATATCATCATCTCTTTCCCAGAATTTCTCACTTCTGTTTAGGAAGTAAGGCATATCTATACCCTCAGACTCGTTTCTTGAGTTTTTAATGTCAATTTTCTCTCCTTCTCTCCCAAATTTATCCTTTTTTAAGCTTACACTCTCCACTTCTGCTTCCACATTTTCATTTACCATCTCTAAATGGTCAGAGTACATTAAGGGTCTCTCAAATTTTTATTTTAGAGAATAAAATAACACCAAAAATAGACTAGATGTATAAATCAACATTCTTATCCAGAACTACATCTTCTTTGTTAATTTCTGTATGCTCTAAGTCAATAAATTCTAAATTCTCTAGTATAGAAACATTTTGAATAGAATGCAACCTGAGATTTTCATTTAATAGAAGGGAATGAATATTTAACGGTAAATCTTTACAATCAATTGTTTTGAATAAATTATTTTGTAACCCTAGAACTTTCAATTTATTTAAACACCTCAAATTTTCTATATCTTCAATGTAATTGTTGCCCAAAAATAATTCTTCTAAATGTCTTAACTTTTCTAAATTTTCTATTTTAGAGATATTGTTTGATGCTAGATCCAATTTCTTAAGGTTTGGTAAATCTAAGTTTTCAATCCTCTCTATATCATTAGAGATAAGGTATAGATCTTCTAGATGTATCAAAGTTAAATTTTCAATTTTAGATATTAAATTAAAGCTCAAATCCAAGGATCTTAAATTCGGCAAGGAATTTAAATTCCTTATCTCAGTTATTTGATTATCATTCAAATCTAATTCCCTTAGATATTCGGAATTATTCAATTCCATTTCCTTTATTTTATTTCTGTATAAGATTGCTTTTCTATGGAATGTTTTTATCTCCGGTATCTTTTCAATACCAGAATGTGGAAAGTATAAGATTTCATCGTCCTCACTCATTTAAGGGGTGCTTTTCATTTTTTACTTAAACTTCCAAGGGTATAGCCAACCTTCAATAAGTGGTACTATTAACATGAGATATCTATATAAACACTTTTAGTATATAAGCATCACACTTGACAATTGATAGAAAAGGAGCTATGCACTGTATGGTATTATTTAGAAATTCAAATTTGAGAAATTGATTCATAAGAAGATTGTTTTTATTAAAGCTGGATTAATTGATAGGGTGTATATAACCTAAAATATTACTCACTCTAATCAGAATCACACTAACAACCACAAAGAGAACTTAAAAAATCACAAAGAGCACCACAAAAATCACAAAGAGCACCACAAAAATCACAAAGAGCACCCCAAAAACCACAAAGAGCACCACAAAGAATACCATAAAAATCACCACAAAAATCACCACCACAACAATCATCACTACAACAATCCCCACCATTTAAACAGCCTTCGGAATTATTACCTTCATTATTATGACCTCCATCTACTACGGTAGAAGTATTATCATAACCCACATCTACTACGGTAGGAGCATTATCATAACCCACATCTACTACGGCTGTAGAAATATTATAACCTCCATCTGCTACGGTAGAAGTATTATCATAACCTCCATCTGCTACGGTAGAAGTATTATCATAACCTCCATCTACTACGGCTGTAGAAATATCACAACCTCCATCTACTACGGCTGTAGAAATATTATAACCTCCATCTGCTACGATAGGAGTATTATTATGACCTCTATCTGCTACGATAGGAGTATTATTTGGATTCCCTAAATAAACAAGGCAAACTCTGTTATCATTGCCTTCATTTCGTCTAGAGTTTTGAGGATTTGATCCATTATTAGTAGAATATGAGTAATTATTTCCTGGAAAATGTTGTTGAGAAGTGATAATATGCGCAGAGGGACGTAATGCTTCAAGTTCATTATCAATCGCTTGAATTCTCTGCACTAAATTCATCTTCTCTTTCGTGAGTTTTTTAATTGCTTCATCTCTATTCCAACTATCTGATCCCAAGCACACTACACAAAAACTCGTAAGTATTGCTAAATAATTCATCATGTGCTATTTTTTATCGTTTTTTAAATACATCACAATCTAAAATTATACCTTATATGGTATTGATACCCACCTCAACAAATTTTTATCAAAATTGTAAAAACATTCCTTTTGCATTAACAGAAAATAGAATTGGAAATAAAAATACCAAGAGTAGCTAATACTAATAATCTTTAAATAAATAGCCCAAGGGGATTTAAAATTTTTAACGAAGAAAAACCGGAAGTTCTACCATCGGAGAATTACCCAAATACCTCAGGTAACAGTATCAAATTTTAATTCTGGACTATTCTCTCCCTAAATACAGCTTTTATATTGGGTTCGAATCCCACGTGATACAATGGGCTTTGTGGATCGACAGATTGCGTATGGAGACTCTCTGGAGGTGTGGCAGAAAGGAGCTGTCCAGGAAAGTTATTTGGAGATCATTGGCTGGCCACTAACAGAGAAAAATATGAACAATAGATGGTTGTATGATCCGCACGTTCTGATAGCGATGTGGGTTATCCACTTGAGAGTGGATGTCGGTGACGGGGTAGGGAACAACACAGACCGCGAAGGACAATTCCACTCAGGCTTGGGCTGGCCTTACGCTGAGCCAGCGGGCTACGTGCCACATGAGGTCTGCACTCCTTGGGCAGGGGAGAACGACGGACAGGATGTCCTGGTCACAGTGAGAATATCTACTTGTCTGGGCTGGACAATGACTCTCAATAGCCCACCGTAAGCCATTGGGTAGCCCCCACGTTGGCGCATCCACGGGTTGTATGGATGCCTTCTGCCTGGAACCTAATAAATAAGGTTGTGATAGGGTTTCTCCTCCACTGAGAGTACCTCACGGGTTCATCAAAAAAATAGTGAGATAATATTCCACCTCTAAAAGACAGTGCAAGAAATAGCTCAAAATACGCACCAATTACATACTTTCTCAGATACACACCTCTGCTTAAGAATCTAACAAGATACTTCTCTAACCTGTAGATTCAATAACTAGAATTATTCTCAGATGTCAAGATTCCAAACATAAAAACCTAAGAAATTTCCCTAATAAATTCCTCATATTTACCATAACAAATAGACAATTGGTGTAAATCAGTTATTGAAGAGATTTCTTTCATATCACAAGACTCTTTAAAAAATACATTCAAATGATTATCAGACAGCAAAAAATGAATCAAATAAGATATAATATTGCCATACATGTAAATGCAATCATTAGAATATCTCAACCCACATACATAATTACAAGACATTTCCTTTTGAAATTTAAGTATTCCTAAGTTGTTTGATCTACATCCCTCGGGAAAGACGATGCAAATATTGTCCCTATCCAGACTTTTTACTTTATTTCCACTATGATATTCTATAATATCACCACCTCTTAGGGTATAAAATTTACAATTCTTGAAAAGACTTCTCAGTACGTAAGTATCAAATATCGAGGCTGAATTACAGGCTATCACCCTCCCCTTTCCAATATACTCGGGTATTACATTCCTTTTTTTTATTTTTATTAGATAAGCTATCATATTTGCACTAAAAGGTAGCAGCAAAAGTAGCGGTAGCCTGAGGAACACCTTTAAGTAACCAAAAAATGTTGGGCTCTTTCTGGTTGGATTTAAAAATGGGTTAATCCCAGTTGCTGGGTCCTTGTATTTTGAAAACCTTTCCATCGGGGGCTTTAAAAAATTACAGCAAAATTCACTGCTTCTTCTTTGCTTATCTTGATAATAACCAATATTTAATTAAATATTATACTTTAGATTTAACAGTATTTTCCAAACTTTTATCTTTTTCCCTATATATTTATTTTATCTATTATCGATACATGTCTATCTCTTCTCATTTTAACCTATCATTGTCAAAACTTTCTTTCCGCATCACAATTTGCTCCCTTTTCTATAACCCAATAGGAAAGTTTCATTTAAAAACATCGAAAACAAGGAAAGGAACCCTCTAGGAACAGAGAAGAAACAAAATTTGAAAAAATGGAAGGAGAAAGAGAGAAGAGGAGTGGTACTAACAAAGACATACCTCAGTTAGGGAGAGACATTAAAGAGGTGATATCAAGTCTACTTGAATATCTTATTGAATGTCCTAAGAAGGAAGTGAAAGAGGAATGTTTTTTGTGTTCCAATACAATTGAATTGGAAAACCTCCATGATTTCTCAAGAATCTACTCTTTTATTCTTTACTGTTTGACCTCTCACATAAAAGAGCCTGTTCTCAAAGCTGATCCTCTGATAGATGATAAGATGAAAAGAGAGAACCTGGTAAGGGCCTTTTCTCTGTTATTTATTGTTGAGAATTTTATGCTAAATGAAATATTAGAGGAGAGTGGAGGCATAGAAGATATATTAAACGAAAGTAGAAGGGAAATGAATGTTATAGAGGGAAGTATGAGAGAAAATCTACGAGATCAAATAATAGCAGTGGCTAGATCGTTTACATCAACCACAATTAACATAAATTGTGAGCAAGAAGTTGAATCTATAACCTTTAAATTTTACAGAATGGTAAGAAAGACAATGAAAATAACTGGAATACCAATTGACTTAATTCTTTATCTTCTCTTCAAAAGAAGAGAGATATCAAGGTTTTTTAAAGTTTTTGAAGAGCCGGGAAATAAAAACAGCCTAAGTTATAAAATGGCCTTGATTCTGTCTCTTATTGATGATTCCCATAAATCATCTGAGTGCATTCTTAGAGAGATAGAAGTGGGTAGATTCAATCTCCAAAAGGAGAGTATTTTAGTTGATACTTTGAGAAATAAGGAAAATGAAAAGGAAATGTTACTTATTAGATACATTGAAGAGATAAAGGATGAGTTGAACTTGGAATTTGAGATCAGAGACAAGGAAAGTTTGGTGAAGTGGTTTAATATTGAGTATAAGAAGTATCATTGGAATGAGTGTATTAAATTATGGAAACATAGTAGGAACAGTAACGGTATAGAGGTGGATACGCCAATGATAGAAAATTGCATAAGATACAAGAAGTATGAAGAAGGATGGAGTATTTTTAAAGATCAGGCTAAGATGAATAGTGGGTGCATCATCAAAGCATGTGTTCTATGTCTTAATGCCCTTAAAGACACGGAGAAGAGAATTTGGATTGAGAGAATCTCGAAGTTAGTTCTGACCACTGTAGAGGGGAGGATGAAAAGCACATGTTGTGCTATGACCGATGACATTTTGAGTGAAATCTGTGATTTATCAGATGAGGGCAGGAAAGAGATTCTCAAGAATCTCTTGGATATCTTAACAAGGTACAATATGAAGGATGACGAGGAAATGGTCAACCATCTTATGAAGGGATTTCTTACACTAACCACAAGATGCAAGAATTCCAGTACGTGTGAGATGTGTATAAAATCTGCAAGCGAGATTTATGAAAAATGGAAACATAAGCAGAATGGGGATTACTTTTCTTTCTTTAGGAAGAAGAGTAGCGATTCAACCAAGGAGATATACTCATACATGCTTGGAGTCTGTGATGCATCTAAAGATTGCGAGAAATTCCACGAAGTCTGCAAGGATCTTTTGGAGAGTAATACAGAGATAAGTTATGCAATTTTCTGTAGACTTGAGAAGTTCCATAAGGATAGGAAGTGTGGGTGTACCACCTTCAACGGTAGTATTGAGGATAAAAAGTTCTGCAGGGACATTCTCAAGCATTGTATGAGGCACCTTAAATAAACCATAAGGTTTTAAGAGTACTCTTATTTAATCTGCCTATAAACTTTATTTTTAGGTTGGCATTTCTGGACTAACCCTGTAGGATAATAACTCCAAATATCCATAGAGTGAATATTTATATCTAAAAATAAAGAAGTGAATATAATTTTACTAAATGATTCCTCTAAGCTTTGGTTTTGCTCTCCCCCTAGCTTTAAAACCTTTAGAAATGTTTCCGACATGTCTGGAAGCACCACACTTTCTACACTTTAAAAATATAACTTGTTTTCTTTGACTATTATAGTCTCATCCACATTCTCACATCCTTTGCACACTACAAAATGTTCAACATACATCCTCAAAACATCTTGAACCTGAGCTTTCAAAAACAATCCTTTCATCAGCAATTTACCTTCCTGATTGATTGATCCAGTAGTAGATAGCTCATTTAAAATAAATTTCATCAAATGATCCTCATCTCTCTTTAACAACTTGCTAATTTCCACGAGATTCATGGATGTTTTGGTTGATGATTCTCTCTTAACTTCTAAAGGTAGCTTCATTTTGGAGTCTTGAAATGAATCTTTTTTGTTTTTATTCAAAATCTCCATGGCTCTCTTTAATAAGTTTATATATTGAAGTTGTTCTGGAAGATTTGATTGCTGCTGATGAGTTTTTTGCTGTGACATCACCACAGCTTTTCTTCCTATTTTCTTCTCTCGTTGTTTTCTAAAAGCTTGTGGATCAAACCCTACTGGCGTTAAATCTTCTGACTCTGAAGAGGACATCTATTTTTAAGGGTCCTTCAAAATAAAAAATTTCAAGGCGTCTATTTGGTTAGTAATTCCAAAAAATACTACAAATTTTTTAGTACCTTTAACAAATCATTTATGCACTCCAAAAGCCCTATTATACAGGTAATTTAATTTTTACTTTGATTTTCTTGAACTCCCTCTTTTATTTCAGCTTTCTTTTCCTAAGAACCCTCATGCTTCTAAATAATTCACTGGATACGAATCCATTGATTTTAACACTGGAAAATTCACACAGAGCTTATCAAAATGAACTGTCTCACACAAATCTTTTAAAAACAAACTATAAAGAGGTAATATACACTTTGCTCTATGAGTTGCTGTTGGATCCAACAGATAACAAATTTAATACACTCTTATCCTTAACCAGAGATGACTTTCAAATTTTTTATTCTACACTCAAAGAATTAATAAAGCATAAATTTATGCATTTTAAAAGGGAAATTTGCATGAACATAATAAAAACATGTGTGATGATTCTTAAGAAAATATCAAGTATTCCAGATACAAGGTTAGAACTTGGTATAGATAGCATATTAATAAACATCATTAGATATTCATTGTTTAGAAATGACCTGGATATAATAAGTATTTTGTATGAACAAATAATAGCTAAAAATTATCATGTTCCAAAACGTGGGTCTTTAGAGTGTTTTAGTAGTCAAAAAATTATAAAATTTGGATATTTTGATTTTTTCATGTTCTTTATCTCAGATAACAAGAAATATTTGGAGTTTTTTTCAAGCAATTTTGTGAATTTAGGAAGAGATGTATTGTTTTATAGAATGTACCAAGAAATAGAAGTAAGAAATAATGAAGTATCACCTTCACCACATGATAATAAAATCCCCAATTCCATTAATGAGATCAATGATGGTGGAAGAATAAAAAATTCATTTAATGAGAATATTCCAGGAATATCAACATCTTTGCAGCAAGAGCCCGAATTAAGTAACTTAAAGCATTCCGTGCTAAAGAACAAATCTGCAAGTTTTAATGGAATATTGTGTAAAAACATCTTAAAACTCCAAACAATGAACCAATTTTTGGTATCAAAACTATCTCTTGAACTAGAAATGAATATAATTTTTTAATAGAGGAGGTCAAGGACAACCAGGAGTTTTATGAGGATTGGATGTTTAATTATTATATAAAAAATGAAAAAATAGCTATTAGCGTTATAAGATATTTGTATGGTATCTACTATACAAACAATATTGATTCAGTGATTTGTTTCACTAAGTCAATTGTTAGACGATTTGAGAGTGACATTTTGATATTTGCTATATTTTACGATCTCTTTTATTATAACACGTCTGAGGGTTTAAATAAGAAAAGTGATATTTTAAATATACTACCAGTTTATTTTTTAAGTTATTCCCTTAAAAGCAATTACAAAAAGTTATAAGCTTTATGACTAAGATATTAAAAGATAAAGAGATACGTAGATCATTTCAAAGATATTTATTGGATTCAAACGTAGATTTTTCCATTTCTGGTATTGAGAATGATGAGATAAGAAATATTCTTGATTTTAAGATAGATACAGAAATAGAAATAAAGAATATAATAAGATACATAGAGGAGTTAGATTTCAACAGATATTATACTTTAGTACATGAAATGAAGATAAGTGGTCTACCTTTTATACCTTACACTTTGTATACCTATCTAATTAATGCCTCTATTGAATGGGATGGATATGTTCAAGTTTATTTTTGGAAGATCCTAGCCTTTCAAAAAATATTATTTGGAATTGAGCCTAATGATGTAGAAATAAAAAGCTGTGAAGGTAAAGAGGGTATGGAGATAATAAAAAATATAATTCAAAATGTTAAAACACAGTGATATCCTTAATGTAAAATACTTTTATATGAACTTTTAAGATATGGGTATCACTAGACGTGGTCATAAAAATTTTGATTTTTAACTTTCAAGTTTTAATTCATTAATGCATAACACTTTGAATGTTGGTCTTCCATGGGGACAGTACCATGGAATCTTTAATGTGCTCATATTTCTACTAATTCATTCATTTGTTTGTAACTTAGTACATCTCCTACCATAATACTTTTTCTACAAGCTTTACTGGCCATTACTTCCAGCATCTTCTTACATAGCCAAACCTTTCCTCCAGCTTTAATCTCATCCAAAAGCTCCAAAAGTCGTTCACATTAAAAATTAAATTTTTATAGATCGGTACGGTTATTAACTTCAATATTATCATCTATCTCAAATCCATTCCTTTTAATTACCTCAATGTTATCTTTTATCACATACTCATCCATACTACTTACTCTGAGTGGGTAGGGAATAATTAACCTTTGTTTCTTAAAAAGAAAGTATTTTTTAAAATTTCAAAGTTTCTTATTTCATCTGATGCATGTTGGTCTATAATTATTAAATATTCTTTATTCTCTTTAATCATTTTTGCTAGAATAAATCCTTTATTAAATTGACCTATCACACTCATTTTAAAAAATCACTTTTTCTATTCTAACATTCTCATTTAAAGAATTTTCTTTGATAGAATAACTAGTGTCATTAATATCACACTCATTATATTTCTATCTATCTCTTTATCAATGTAAGATTTTCATCAGTTTAAATCCAAGGTAATAGAAGAATTCAATGGTGATCTATAAAAATAGATGGATTATGATGTATATCTTCCAGCTCTTTTGATTCAATAAACCTTCCCTGTTAACTTTTCTTTTACACTTAAAGTTCTTAATTCTTCCTTAATGTATCATGCCTTTTATCAAACTTAGATAATTTAACACACTTTATCTCATCGCTTGCATTTTCATTATATTCTTTTTAAGTAACTTATCAATCCCATCATCATTAAATGTTTCTTTTTCACTGCAGAACGGAGTATTGGAGTTTTCATAACAATCCTCATTTATTGTTGTCGTATTATTTTCTCTTCGCTTTCTTTCATATTTTCAGATCTTTTCTCAGACTCTCAATCTTTTTTTTTTTTCTCCATCTTTCTTATAATCTTCAGATATTAACTGCAGTTCATAGTTCATAGATTTCCTTCCAGTGATAAGCATTCATGAAAATTCTCTTCTAATATCTCTTTGACCCTATTAAAAAGATCTTTTTCATTTAAAAGAATAATTTTCAGATTTATCTACTGATAAATTTACATCCCCTTCTCCCTAATTTTAATAGAAATAAGGGAAACCCTCACAATATGACTTAAATGTGTCTAAAATCACCCTTTTTAGTGAATTAAACTTTACGGGTCTATTCCCCACAAAAATATTTGATAAATTCTTGTCCTAATAGGGATTAAAGATATCAAAATATAAAATAGTTCATCGTCCTTTTCTAGAAAAGTACCCTTAGAAAAATTTTCGTATAATTCTTTCTAGCATATTCTAGAATCGAGTATCCTCCCTCTCAACCACTTTATATTTTTACCATGATTAAAGCGAATTGTTGACATTGTTGACACAACAATACGACTTAATTAAATATAGAACCCTTGTATATCCCTCTTTATATTATTTTCTAATATCTTCCTTCTAACTAAACAATCCTTAAAAATTCTTTATTCTAACTGTTGTCCCCTCGCTCTCGCACATTTTTCGATTTCACTCTTCATAAAATCCTTCTTTAATGCATATTCAAGGTTTGTTTTTGAAATAATCTCCAATTCGCATAAATCTTTAATAGAAGAAAGAGCCTGTCCCCTAAATCCGTACATAAATTTATCACACTCCCTGCTCATTCCTATAACAAAATAAGTTAAGTTCTCTTTAGAAGTACAATCCCTCATACCCCCAATTCCATTTCGTTAATCCCATCACCATCATCTTCTATCCTAATATTGGTATTTTCCAAGTATATCTCTCTATTCTTACTGTTAGAATCTAAAGAATTTTCAATTAATCTTTTATTATTATATAAATGCTATTATATATTGTTCAGATTTCACCACCGTACTTGTCTCTTTTTCCCAAATATTTTATCATCTTCACCTCTATAACCTTTGCATTCAAAGAAAAGGTTTCCAAATTTGGAGGTAAATTTTTAAAACAGTGATCATCTTCTATACCATTAAACAGATCTAGTATTCTCTT